CAGAGCCCAATGTGTGACCTCACTCCAAATCATGGGCCTTCCTCAGACTAGCCAGTGGTCTCTCTAGTCTCTGGGTGAACCAAAATGTGGGCCTCCCCTGTAGCCTTCCCCCTCGTCTGCCCATCTTACCTGAGCTGTGAGCTTCAGGCTTGACCAGGACTCTCCAGCCAGTGGTGGGACATCCCCCACCCTCCTCATCCTCTGCCCTTCAGATGCCACCCGCTAAACTCTACTGTTGAGGTGTCTCCTCAGGTTGGGGGTGCAGAGTACTAGAGTCAGAAGGGGTCAAGCCTTGCTGGACCAGAGAGGATTTAGGCCAAGGTGTGGGAAGGGTCTGACTGGTAGCCCACAGCTGCCCACTGACCAGTTGACAGGGAGCTCTGGAGCCAGGCGACAACTCCTACAAGGGAATTTGCTCCTCATCAGCTGACTGTTGCCTGGTGCTACCAATTCCCTGCCAGTTTTTCCACTTGAGAGACTGAGGCAAGGCCTGGATGAACTAGCCTGTGGTGACCCAGTTTGTTCACACATCCCCTGATCCCCCAGGAGGGTTGTTTCGTGCAGGACCTTTGAATTAACTAGACCTGGAGGACCAGAGAGAATCCCACGGGCTAATGAGTCCACTAGAGGAAGGGAGCAGTCGGATGTGGGTAGGAAGAGATAGCAAAAGGCTGTAAATTCCACCTCAGGTTAACGCATGGCCTTAGAAAGTAAATTTTCCTCTTCCACAGAGCCAGGATGTGCCTCATTGAGACACCTTAGGTTGTAGAGCAGAACTGCTCCATGGGGCTTTCTTGACTATAACCTTTCCAGAGGACAAACCAGTCCCTGGAGGCGGACATTATGCTTGGTCAAGTGATGAGGAGGAAGATCCTTGAGATGAGTTGATGCAGTGGCTGTAGTGAGAGGCTCAAACCCAGCAGCGATTCTTTCTGTTGCATGGCGGTTACTACCGCAACAGCATCTCACCACAGCCTTTATGGAAGCCGATTGGCAGGCCTTTCTTCCTGGCTTACTAGATGTATTCAGACCAGGAAGTTAGTGAAGCAAGCCATCTGTGCCGTCCAAGGGCCTTTTCACGGGGCAGGAGCTGGAAAGTGGAAACACCTGAATTTACACTTGGGCCTTTGCTGTTGTCACCTTACCAGGGAGGCCTCTTTTACAGGTTCCAGTTGAGCAGAGGGAACTGTTCTTCGTATGTAGGGAAGCGAAGCTTGTCTACTCTTCAATGATACTAGGTTATGACAGCCACAGCCAGGTCTAGATGAAGATGCCAATTCACCAGCACCTGGTTATGAGTCATGAGGATATGCAAGTCCTTCCCTTGAAAAGGGCTAGAGTGAGTGAGTCCTGGTAGTGCAATAATTAAGTGTTCATCTACTGACCGTAAATTGTCGTTTCAAACCCACCCAATCATCCTGCAGGAGAAAGACCTGACCATCTACTTCCATAAAGATCACAGCCAAGAAAATAGCACCCCTCAGTATTTCTTTGTCATATGGGCTTCACCTTGTATCTATCTAACAGCAAAGTGGGGCCGCTCGCGGGTAGTGATCGGCAGTTTCCTGGAGCGGCCGGCAGAGGGCGCAAGCATCTCACAAGTGAAAGGGGCAGCAGTGCTGGGGGACAATGGCCAGAGCGGCTGAGTTTCACACACAAAAAAAGCCAAAGCAGTGAGAAGCTGTATCTCCCTCAGGGGACAGGACCCCAAGGCTTTCCTGCCTGCTGCTCCCTTTCTCTAGAGTAAAGCCTTCCCTAGACTCACCCCAGGAAGAGGAGTTGGTCAGCTCCTAGGTCCCGAGCTGCAGCTGAGTCAGGGAGGTGCTGTGAGGGACTCACAAAGGTGAGGCCAACTTAAACCAGTCTGGCTGACATGCTGCCTGATCTCACTTCCCTTACCGCTCCTCAGCCAGCCTGCTGGCCTCCGGGGCTGTGGGAGAAGAGAGAGTAGGGGCAAGGGTTTTCCAGACTCAGCTGACTGCATGCCACTGACCTGCCTCTTCCAGCTTCCTTGTTCCTTCCCCTAAAAGGAGTTTCATAATGATCAACACAGGAGCACAACCTGCTCGGGAAGTCTCTTGTCCTCTGCTCAAACCCTGAGGAAAACCCCCGTCTATTTCCCACTGGAGCTTTCTTCCCTTCAGGGCCTCCTCACTGCACCCACCACAGGCCCCCAGCTGGAGGTGGTCAACCCTCCTGGGAAGAACTGTCCTGACTCCAAGTCCCAGGGAACCACACACTCCTTGTTTGCTAAAATTGGGCTAGTTCTTGGCATATTTATTACTTCACTGTGCTGTTAAGAGATGACATAAAATGTTTATAAAAGGCTTGAGGAAGAATAAAGTGTTGCACAACAATCATAAAGACAAGTAGAATGTTGGGATCCTTCTTGAAATTGACCTGCATAAGTTATTAAAGGCCATCTCCTACCACTCAACTTTCCCTTAAGACCTCACCTCCTCCCCTGGTAACAAATGACCCAGAAGGTGCAGGCTGGTAACTCCTATCTCAGGTTTCAGTGCAGGTTTATTTCATTTTATATTTTATTCCAGGCAAGTGCTTATTACATGGATAGTATTCATGTCTCAATACCTAAAGTCTTGGAGCATGAACAGCCACTAGAGTACAGTTCAATAGTAAAAATACATTATGTACAAAATTAGGGTTTTTGTAGGTTTCCCCCCCCCACGCAGCAGATGTATCCAAACACATAAAAATCTCTACAGTCTGGGGTCACTACAGTTTATAGTTTCAGGAAACGGAGACACAGTGATTGAGTCCTCACTGTAAACAAGGGCCACCTCTTTGAAGAGGGGAGGGTGAGACCTTGGGACGGGGAAAGAGGCAGCAGCTCCTGGAGGGAACAGGAGTATGAGATCCCCCCTAGCTACCCTCCAGGCATTCCCTGCCCTTCTTTGGCCCCCCCAAGGAAACAGCCTCCCCCTGTCCCAGAGGTAAAGACCCCCAGCCAGTGAGTCACTCTGAACATCAAAAAGTAAAACACGCATGAGAGGTAAGATGTGTCTGTGCGTCCCCAGGCTGGGAGGGCGTTGCGCGAGGGAGGGAAGGGGCAGGCGGTCCCACAGAGCGGAGGACAGATGTGGTCCCGAAGGATGGGGAGTGGGGAGGAAGGGCTGGGCAGTGGTGGCCCTCTTGGGCACATGGTGTCACAGCGTTCACAAACAACAAAAACAGCAACAACACCCATCTTCACCAATCTGGACATAGTCATTCGGCACTAGATTAAGAGGCCCCACAACGGGGGGGGGGGGGGGGCCTGGAAGGGGATGAGGGTAGGGTGGGGGCGGATGAGGTATCTGTGCAGGCCCGAGGGGCTGGCACAACAGTTCAGTTCTGGAACGGGCCTGGGGTGCAGGGAGTTGTGGGGGTTCGCCAGTGCTTCTGTTCCCTGGGCGGCAGTCCTGCCTCATCTCTTGCTTTTCTTATGGTCACCACACCGGAGAACTGTCCCCCAGCTCCCCCAAGAACCTAAGTGTCAGGTGTGTGAAGGTAGCTGCAGCTACAGGAAGGCAGCGAGCTGGTGCGGTGGGATTACTGCCCTGGGCTGGCCGTGGGGCCTTGGCCTCCTTCTGCCAGAGGCCTCAATGGCCAACAGCGGGTAAGCCATCCCTTGCCCAAGCAAACCAATGAAAAAGAACCGCACTAGTCCCCTGGGAGGTCTCCAGGACCGGGAACTTAGGTATCTATGGAGTAATTTCAAGGGAGAACTTATCCCATATTCTACTGGCCACAGTGGTGCCTTCAGGACCACCACTCACTCGCTCCCCTCCGGTCCTGCCCCTCACCTTGCCAAGGCAAGGCAGCCCACTCACGGACGCTAACTTCCAACTCACACCGAAATGTCCATGGGGGAGCTGAGTGTGCATGTGTGACTGAGTGTGTCTGACACAAGGCCACTTGTAATAAATACCCACATAAAAAAGCCAAAGCAGAGATGAGAAGCGGCACTGCCACACACAGGCCCCTACTCCTGCTGCACTTGGCCACCTCTGGAGGAGGCAAGGTCCACTGTCCCTTCACCAGGAGGATACACAAACAGCCCACCAGAGATGGGGCATTAGGGAGAAAGGAGGGGTGAAGACAGGTTGGAAGGGGAGCCCTGGCAGCAGTTAAAAGCCACAGCTCAGGTGTTCCCTTCCCTACTGGCCTCCAGGGCCCACAGGGGAAGGGGTTCAGGGCTTTGGCAGAACCTCTGTACTTTACTGTCAGATGCCTTGACAGTGGGGCAGCAAGGCTCCCAGGACTAAGACCAAAAGCTGACTCAAGTCTTTTAGGTTGCAGAGGCACCAAAATACCCAGGCCCACCATCCTTTGGGGAGGGAGTATAAGGCTGAGCAAAGGCCGGGGAAGAAGGGGGAGTGAGTCAGCACCCCTTCTCTTCTTACTCTCAGTGACAGGTGCCGGAAGCTTGGCTACGGCGTGGGGCTTGGTTTATCAGTGACCACCACTTTGGACCGGTGGCTGTGCTGGGTCACAGCCCCAGGCTGGGTGGAATGCCCAGACCAAAAACTTCTGGGAGGCCTGACACGTGCGCTCAGACAGGGCCTCAAAATCCAGGCTTCTGGGTTAAATTCTGCTCCCCTGCTTCCCGTCAAAGGCCTGGGAAGAGAACAATGAGCCTCGGGGAGGGCCCAGGACACTGGCCCCCTCACCAGTCAGCATAGCAGCAGCACAGGACGATGGGAAGGAATGCAGGGAGAAGTTGGGAGAACACGACGTCCACATCGTGCTGATTTTGAAGGACAGGGTGGGGAGGCAGAACGGAACTGAAGCTGGCACCAGGCCGGCCAGGCGGCACGCTCACCAGCATCTCTCTCATCAGTCTATCAAGTCCGAGTGCAGTGGGGAGCCCCGAGCCCTGTGTCCAGCTCCCTGGGGCGGCCCCTCTTTCCCCTGGCTCAGAGTCTTGTCACCCCCTTCCCCTATGAGGCCTGGGGGTGGGTGTGGGTGGGGTGGGCCTGGGCAAGGCTGGAATGTGTGGAGCTGGTGGGTGGGAGAGTGGGGGCTAGGGCCCCCTCCCCGCCCCCACTGGGGGCCTCTGAGTGGCTTCACCTTCAGGCCAGCTTCAGTGTGCTGACCGGGAAGGAGGGCATGGTGACCATGGTCACAGGGTTGAGCACTGTTTGGCCCACCAGCTGGGGATGATGCACCACCTGTGCCCCCACAGCCGGCTTGGCCATGACAGTGGCTGGGGGTCCTAACCCGGCGGTGCCGTTCACCTGCTGGTGCGAGAGGGTGTGGGCGATGTGGCTGACCGCCACAGGCTGGCTGACCGCCACAGGCTGTGGATACAGGGGCAGCTGGGAGCCGAGGTGGGCCACGTGGTTAAGGGTGGCAGGGTGCACTGTGATGTGGCCGATGGGGGGTGTGGCGGGTGCCAGCTGGACAGCAGGACTAGGGGCTGAGGGGGCGATATGGGCAATGTGCTTGCCCCCTGGCCCCTGGAGAACATGGTTCACAGTCTGGATGACTGAGGCATGGGTGGTGGCCGTGTGGGCAATGACCGTGGAGCTGCCTCCAGCAGAGGCCAGCAAGTGGGCGGGGGCTGGCACCAGTGTCTGGGTGGGGGCAGCTGGTGGGGGCGGAGGGGCTGCCAAAGGGGTCTTCTGTTGTGGCTGCTGCTGCACAGGGAGATGGGCAGGAGAGAGGGCTACGGGATGAGGGTGTGGGTGAGGGGGAGCGGGTGGGGGCGCGGTGCTGGGCAACGGAAGGGCCGACTTGAGCAGCTCCGGCTGGGGCCGATGGCTCAGCTTGGGGGGGCCCAGGTTTGCCCTGTCTTCCTCCATCTCCTCGTCTATGTTGTCCTCACCCTCTGTGAAAGGGAGACACAGACAAGGAGAACGGAATAGGTCAAAAGGTGCTGGAGAACAGATGACCCTAGGCATTTTGGAACATTTCTAGGGTGGCCAGGGAGGGGCATGTTTTCCAGCAGACCGAGGCCTGGGCTTGGGGGGTGTGGCTCCCTGCAGGGGCCGGGGCCCAGCTCACCTGAGGCGGTGGAGGTGGAAGCCTGGTCATCCTCAGGCTGGCCTGTCTGCCGCAGTACACGGTCGATCTCCAGCACGTCCATCCACTGGCTCAGCTCATGCTTGAGATCTGTCAGCCGCTGCTGCGTAGCGATCTTCTCCCGGGCCAGCCGCTCCATCTCGTGCTCATACTCTTTCTCCTTCCTCTTCAAGGACTAGGGGACAGCACAGAGGAGGACAAGGATACTTTCAGCAGCAGCAGCCGTGGGGTCCATGGTATCTCAGTCGCCTCCCCATGGCTCTCTCCTTCAGACACCCAACCCAGAGGAACAGAACTGCAGTGACCATGAGGCTAGATGACTATAGGGGGCTCCTGGAAACCACACCTGCCTCCAGGCATAGCCTCAGCCTGTGAGGACTAGCAGCTCAGCAAATTTGGGGGTTCTCGGGCAAAATGGTTGAGAGGAAACACAGATCTAGCTTACTTGGACCTATGTATGGGATGGAGTCACTCCCAATCCCCCCACATCAACTCTGGGCTGTGAGGCTTTCACATATTCTGCCCCAACCACCCTCCTGGAACCGCTACCTGCATTTCCAAGAAGACAGAATGGTAAAAGGTGCCCCCACTCCCACGATTCTGCTCAACCACCCTCCACAGAGCCCACTCCACAGCAGCCTCAGATGATCCTGCCTTTCTCTCCACCTCATCGCTGTCTCCCTGGTAACTTCACTGTCCCTAGAGACACCTCTCCATGTTATCTCCATGCCGAGAGGTCCTTTCCCCCAGGAGACACCGAGTTCCACATTTTCTCTCAATTTCCACAAGATGCACTTTTCAACTTTGCTTTCTCACTGCCCCCTCCCCTCTCTTCCTTGCACTGTGACTGCTGCCCCCACATGCTCCAAGCCCTTGAGAGTACACCCTACTTCTCTGCACCTGTACCTTACTGAGTGGCACTTACTGAAGAGCTAGGACTCTTGGGTGGCCTGACAGTACATGCTTTGTCTTCTCTTCCTCCCCATGAGGTCCAGGCAGCCCCTCATCAAGAGCCAACAGTGCTCATTTCCCTAAGAACCTCAGAAGGGGACCCTCAACTCCATGGCCATCTCCCCTTGACTCCTCTGTGCCTCAAGTCCTCTCACGCTGCGCTCTTCTGTAGACAGAGTGCTACACCTTCTATGTTGATGAGTACCACTGAGTCAATTTTCCTTTTTCCTTTCCACTGTGCAACCTGCTTCAGTGCCTGCTGCCTGTAAGAAAGGAGGCCAGGCTACAGCTCGCTCTGACATGGAACACTATGAGAGACCCATGGGGACAGGCCTGCCATAAATCCAAACCCATGCAAACAGGGTCAATTTTTTACTCACAGTGACCCCCTGTGAAAGAGTTTTTTTAGGCAGTTCAAACCCATCAGCTGCTCCACCGGAGAAGGATGGGAAACTTCCTCCCATATGATTAACTGCCTCTGAAAAACCACCAGCTATGGGTCGGTTCCGACTCGACAGTACACATCATTTATAGAAGTAGTTTGCTGGGTCTTTCCTCTGAAGAATCAGAACTGCGAGATGAGTTTTCTGTTAGCAGCTCACCCGTAACTGTTGCACCACAGGATCCCATAGGAGGTCTAAGTCTCTTATGCCTCCCTTAACAAGTGCTGCTATAACAGAGATACCATAAATGGATGACTTTAACAAATAGAAGCTTGTTTCTCACAGTTTAGGAGACAAGTTTAAATTCGGGTGCTGGCTCAAAGGAAAAGCATTCTGGAAGTCGATCTTTGTTCCCTTCAGCATCTGTAGGCCTAGCGCTCCTTATGTCTGGCCTTCCTCAGTGTCAAGGAGTGTCCCCGCACGGGGACCTTCCTCTAAGGGAACTGCTGGACTCCACTCCTGGCTCTTCTGTTCTTGTGTTACTGACTGCCCCCCTCTCTTCTTAAGTTCCCCCTTGTGAGAGAGAAGGCTTTTATAGGCCACACCCCAGGGAAACTTCCCTTTCATCTGATCAGGGATGTGACCTGATTAAGGGTGCTCCATCTTATCCTTTTTACAACTGATTGGCTGATTACATCACGAAGGATGATTACATCATTACAAAGCTGCTTCTACACCAGCCTCACTAACATCAATGAGATTAGGATTTATATCCCATAAGGTAATTACCCTGCTTGCTGAAACTGAAGAGGACCTGAAGCACCTGCTGCAGAGGGTCAAGGACTGCACCCTCCAATATACATTGAGGCTCAATGTCAAGAAGACAAAGATTCTCACCACTGGACCAATTGGCAGCATCAGGATGGATGGTGAAGAGATTGAGATTGTACACAGCTTTGGTTTACGTGCATTGCCATGGGAAAGTCTGCTGTTAGGGACCTCTCCAAAGTACTGAAGAGCAATGGTGTCTCTCTGGAGACTAAGGTGCGTCTGATACAGGCCATGGTCTTCGCAATCACTTGTTATGCATCAAAGAGTTGGACAATGACCAAGGAGGATAGAAGGAGAATTGATGCCTTTGAGCTGTGGTGCTGGAGAAGAGTACTGAGAACACTATGGACTGCTAGGAACACAAACAGATTCATCCTGGAAAGGTTAAACCGGGTGGCTCCTTGGAGGCAAGGATTCTGAGGCTTCGTCTAACATACTTTGGACACGTTGTAAGGAGGGACCGGTCCTTGGAGAGGGACATCATGCTTGGGAGGGTGGAGGGACAGCGCAGGAGGGGGGAAGGCCCTCTATGAGGTGGATTGATTCAGTGACTGGGATAATCGGGATGGGAGTGTCAGAGACAGTGTGACTGTCACAGGACAGAGAAGCGTTTAGGGCTTTTGTACATAGGGTCGCTATAAGTCGCAAGCGACTCGACGGCACATAACAACAACAAACAACAACAAGGTAATTACATTATATTGACAATCATGGTCTAAGCAAGTGGCTATTTTGGGGGGGCACACAATGCCTGAAAAGCTCCAAAGAGCCAATTCACACCCTAATTCAGCTCCTCACCAAACATCTTTTCATGCCTTCATAACCTCCTGATATCAACACTCTATTAAGTCACATGAATCGAATCATCTGTTGGCTTCTCCCTGGACCAAGGAGGTTGAGATGGCTGGCTGTGTCAGTACTGATGGGCCTCCTGCTCCCAAGTCTCTCACCCCTTCAGGGCTCTTCTGTTCACTCTGTTAAGACCACAACTGATGTCTCAACTTCCTCCAGACTTTCCCACCCACCTCTTACCACATTCAAACTACTCCTGCCTTCCAGACCCTGCAGGCACTCAACCATTCATCTGAGTATTTAGTTGAAAACTGTTACACTGTCATTTAAGTATTTCACTTGTATGAACTTTGTCTTCCCACTTCCACACACATGGTTCTTGTACAGCCCTATTTGTGAAGCCAGAGAACAGTTTATTTTCTATCTTCCAACCCTCCTAGTGGCCAGGACAGAGCTGTGCACAATGTGTACTTGGTTCCAGTGGAGAAACTGATTTGGGAGGAAGGAAGGTGCTTCCTGTTCATTCTATCTTCACCTGTCTGCCTTTCACTCCAGAGAAAACCACAGTAACTTGTTATACTGGGGTTTCTTTGGTTCCATTTACAAGGGGTACTTCTGCAGCAGCCTTTCATGACTGCTGCCCACCCTTCTGGAGCCTGTCTTCACCCACACACCAACCACCCCCAATGGCCCCATGCTCCCCTGCTACAACCCCTGAACTCCTTACATTTCTGACCTTATCAGTGAGAGAGGTTTTAAGCCTTCAGCTATAGGTCACAGCATCTCCTAGTATCTGACTCCAAGTTTAATCTGCTTCTTCCCATACCGCTGCCAGGAAGATGGTCAGACAGACCCTCCTCCAGCAAGTAGTGCACTTACACATACCTGCCAGCCTTCTTACCTGGCTCTTTCCCTGGGAGGCCAGGGCTAGAAATGATATCCAGGTGGGGCCACATCAATAGCAGGGCCTGTGACAAGACAGCCCTCATTGACACCTGGTTTCAGGGGCCTAGAAGCAGCTGCCTTGAATTTTACCTGCTTGTAGATCAGGGAGAAGAGAAAGAGCATCAGGGACCCAAATCCCTTTTCTCACCTAGCTCAGTCCTGCAGAGGCATAGGAGCTCCCAAAAAATTGTCCCAGAGTCTACTTGTAGTCTGCACTGCTTCATTTTGTTTCCTTTCTCTAACTGTGTGGACACAGTTTGAGACTCGCTACTTCACCTGCTCATCTGTCCTCTTCCTTGTGGCTTTCTATAAATTCTGTTCCACCTCCAGCCACTCTGGAGTCAGGGTGAAAATTACAGTATCTCCACAGCTCACAGCCAGAGCCCTCAGTATACACAACCCTACGTGGACTCACTGCACCACCTTTCAACTACTGTCCAGTGGACCACTGCCCCTCTTGTGCTGGCAGCCTATGTGACAGTCTTTTATTTTCCTAGTCCATCCCACTGGAGAAACACTGGCCTGCACATAACCCTCTGTCTTCCACTTGGCCTAGTTCACTCAAACTCATCCTTCAGTCTCAGCTCAAAATGTTCTTTCCTCAGCAAATGCTTTCCCTTACTCCCCATGAAGCACAACTCTGCCCTAATGTCATAACCCTCTGCAGGCTGACTTTATAATCTGGCCCCCAAGACCACAACCATGAAGCTGTGAGGGAAGAGTCCCTTTTTTTTTCCTTAACATACTTTGCTATCTTTTATTTAGTATTGCCTTCTTTTTTTTTCATTTTTATTAAATTTTGTGTGTGTGTCTGTACTGTCAAATCGGATCTGACTGGTACAGGAGGAGACTGCCCCTCCTTCTCCGGCAGAGCATCTGGTGGATTGGAACCGCATATCTCTGGGATTGCCATGCAGCTTCTTGCCACTAGGCCACCAGAGCTCCCCCAAGAGTCCCATTTTTTAACTTGCTGCTCTCCACTTTATCCTCAGGAGTCAGACACAGCACCTGGCTAACAAAACAAACGAAAAGGATACAGAACAGTAAAAGTTAAGGATTTGGAGAAAGCCTTGTGAATCATTCTATAGCTTCAATCTCCATTCCCAAGGTCCTTGGTTGATGTAAAGCATTTGCTTTCATCTATTTAACCACAAGTGTGCTGGTTTGAACCCAAAAACCAGGAGAAAAAAAACCCAGTTTATATCTATACTTATGTAAGGATTATAGCCAAGAAAAGGTCATGGAGCAGTTACAGGGCTGCATGAATTAGCAGCAGAATTTTTTTCCACTATCAGACAGGGGCAGGACAGCCTGGAGCTCATCCTGCTTCCTACTCATTTCAGTTTATTCTACTGGTTCCAGTAGTCTATTTCTGATGTCAAATCTACCCATTAAGCAAGTGCTCTCCTCCCAAAATATGTGTTTATATAAAGTGAAACCTGCCATCAAATGATAACTGTCTTTCAACATTAACTGTTGTTAATGCAGGGAGAGCTCTGGTGGCTTCGTCGTAAGGAACTGTGCTGCCAACAGTGTCACACAGTTCAAATCCAGCAGCTACTCTGTGGGAGAAAGCTGGGCAATCATTCGATTTACTGGTTTATAGGATTAGCTATGAGTTGGCTCCCACTGACAGCACACAGTGACATTAAGTTAGTGCCAGTACTGAGTAGAGAAATAATACGACCTAAATCTAGCATCCCTATGAAGAAGATACTATTACCTACAATTTTAACCCCTATTTAACTTTACAAAAGAGAAAATGAGTATTCAGAGATGTCACAATATGTAGACAGTGATCTGATCTCGAGTGGCGTGACTGACGGGACCAGCAAACTGTACCCAAGCCCAAGTTCTGCAAATGCATCTCTGGAACAAGCCTTCCCAGCCTCTCTAGGTCTCCCGGGTAGCCGCCTCCCCTCCCCCGCCCCGCGCCAGCTCCCTGCCAGCCGCAAGAAAGGCCCCGCCCCTCCGAAGCACGCGCGCACCCACGCGGACCTGGGTTTGCTGCGTCACTCCCCCTTGGCCGCACCCTCTCTCCAAGCACTCAGGATCGCCCGCCTCCACGTCGGAGCCAGCCAATCAGTAATTCTGGCTCCGCCCCTTCCAAGTACCGGGAAGCAGCCTGGAGGCGTGCCAGCCCCAGCCACTCGCCAGGGAGGGCGGGCAGAAGGGCGCGAGCAGTCGGGAGAGGAGGGGCGGGGCCCGCCGGCTGGGAACAGTCGCGAAACAGTGCCCCCGCCCCTCAACAAGTCAGGCTCCGGTTACCTCAGGGCTGTGACCCCACAGCTGAGGCTGGCGGGGAGGGGTGGCGCCCCGCTATTGGCTCTGGGGCCCATCGCACCTCCCTTGCCAGCCCTTCCCATGGGAGATGGTCGAGCCCTCCAAAGCTTCCCAAGTGGGCCGACAGAGAGACCCCAATGCTCATCCCGCCCCAGTTGGGCAGGGAGACCTAAGTTCCTCCCATTCTGCCAACAGCTCCCCGTCCTCCTCGGCAGCAGAGCGTGGCCACTGGCCCCATCCCCCACAGACTCCGCGGCATGCGGAACCCTCCACTGGTTTCCAGGGAAACCGAAACTCAGAGCCGTCATGGCAACTGTCTTATCTGGCAAGCGCCCCCCCAATACTGCAGCGGGGAGCCAGTGTCCAAAGGGAGGGGACACACTGCCAAGCGGACCCGATAAAATAAAAGCAGCTTTTCTAAGAAAGCCAGGCACAAGGCAAGCGTCATCTTTTAAGGTTGTGTGACCCCAGAGCTGTTTGTCATCGACAAGCACCCTCTCAACCTTCTCTGGCCTAATCCGTTCCCCTAATCCCAGTTCAGCACCCCAATGTGTTCACCGGCAGAAGCTTAATCTCCCCTTGGTAAAAGCAGGGGGAGGGGTTCAGGAATACAACCTGAGCTTACACCTAAAGGGTTCCCTGTGGGCTCCGTACCCTCCCCCTTGGCCGTGCCAATCGCTAACCACGCAACAGACAGACACTAGGCTGAAGTGGGTTCCCGCACAGGCACCGCGGGCGGGGCGGCGGCGCCCAAGACCGCGACATAATTCACACCCGGTATCCGCAAGGACAGAGCGCGATCCAGGCACCGGGTTTTACAGTGAACCAGGCTGCAGTGCGCTTCCACCTTGGGACACCGGGGATGCAGGAACGTGCAGATGGCGGGGGTAGGAGGGATGGGGGGGGCGTCAAAGGGGGGGATGCGCTTCGCGGAGCGGCGGGGGGGGGGGGACGACGACGACGGACGCACCACCACCCTCCCCAGCGCGAGCGCGCGCCCTTCTTCCTTCTGCCTCCTCCTGGGCAGGGAGCCCCGCTGACGTCAGCTGGGCCATGTGCTCAGCGCCCGCGTGGAGGCGGGCGGGGGAGCCGGCTGGGGAGCGGGAGGGCGGGGCGGGGACGCAGCCAGTGAAGGAGGGCGGGTGGAGGTGGGGAGGAAGCAGGCGCTCAGGCCGCCACCACTACCCTGGCCTGGCCTGGCCCACCCTCTTCTGGCCCCTGCTTCCCTCCTCTCTCCCATACCTGGATGTACCGCAGCGCTGTCCGCAGCACGCTCAGATTCGAAGTCTTCTTGTCGTCCACATTAGGAATGTTGCGTTTCAGGGTCTCAAAGCATTCCTTTAGATGGGCCCTCCTGGGGAGAGGGAACTGGTTTAGGTTGGTTTGTGAGGGAGATGGTTTAGGTGAGGACTAGGGGTGAAAAAAGGAAAGCCCAAAGGGAGTGGTGGTAGGTAGACGGCCAGGGGTAGACCAAGTCCCAGGATGGAGAAGGGTGGGCCCAAAGTCTCAGCCCCCCTCTCTCTCTCTCACACACCTGTTCTTCTCCAGTTTGTTGTGGACTTCTCTGGTGCCGATCCTGAAACCCAGACAGACAGGAGACTCAGGGGTGGAGGGCTCAATCAAGCGGCCTTCCTACTCCTTAGCCCCCGCCCAAAACATCACAGGCTGCCCACTACATTCTCTATAAATAAGCAAAGGGAGATAGATGACTGTTGGTGCCATGGACCCCTCCTGCAGGGCACACCTACATTCATAACCCACAACTCTGTTAGTCCCCATCCCACCCATGCGCAAGTGAAGAGGCGGAAGAGTTCTAGGGGAGTAGTCTGTGGACACACACAGCCTTCTACTCCACAACAGTAACCAATGCTCTGTCTACAGGCCTGAAAAGGCCACAGGCCTAGCTTCTGGTGATCAAGAAATACAGATGAATTCAAAAGTTTGAGAATGACAGAGGAAAAGTGCTATTCTGGGGGGGGGGGCGCGGGGGCGCGCGCGTGTGCGTGTGTGTGTGTGTGTGTGTGTGTGTGTGTGTGTGCGCGCGCGCACAGTGAGCCTGTCCACACACCAGAGGGCATTATAGGCTGGGGAGAGAGAAGGCCTCAGAAAGGCTAGCTGTCAGGGAGGTTAGCATCTCTTTCATACTCAGCCTACAGAGTGGATAGCTCACTCCAACTCACTGGTCCCCACCCTGCCCCACCTCACTCACCCCCCTGGCCTCTTCTTTTGTTCATTGGATTTCACTTCTTCAGCAGGTGCCAACTTCAGGGTCCCAAGTGTGGATGTAGGTGGCTGCTGGGGGGCCAGCTGAGGTTGGACCCCTGGATGTGGTGCAATGGTCAGGATGGGAGTAGGGAGGGGCTGCAACGGTTTAGGGCTCCCAGTGGGCGGAACAGTGGTCTTCGAATCTGGCAGTAGGGGGGCAGAAGTGGGCACCTGTGGCCTGGTGGGCAGAGGGGCAGGCTCTTTAATGCTGAGTCCAGGGGTGCTGACCAGTGCTGGCTGTCGAGGTGCCAGGGGTAGAGACTGAGCTGTAGGGGGCAGTGGTGGAGGTGGGGGCAATGGCTGTGGGGAATTGGTCACTACAGGGATGGGGATGACAGTTAATGGGGTGGGGGTGGCAAGTGGTGGTGGGGGTGCTGGAGGGGGTGCTGGCGGCGACAGAGGCAAGGGTGGCGCCTCAATGCGGGGCTCATCCACGGGGAGGGTATGGGCCAGCCTGGCCAGACTGCTGGCTTTCTTCTGCTCCTGCTCCCGTTCCCGTTCCAAGCGAAGCCGCTCCTGCTCCTCTATGCAGAGAGAACACAAGGCAGGTCTAAGCAGGCTCCCAAGGTTCAGGGCCCCAGTTTCCCTTGTCCCCTGGCCCTGTCTAGTGGATGCTCAGTGTCCTCAGCCTGGAACTCCACACATACTCACCCACAATTCAGTGGGCCCAGTGAAGCTCTAGGACACAACAGTGAACAAATTAAAACAGATCTTTGGAGAGCTTAATAGCCTGCGTGGTGGCAGCAGGGGTAAGGGGAAAGCAACCTCATCTGTAGTGGGGGCAGGAAAGAGGGCTGTGGGAACACAGCAGGAGCTATCAGAGAATGCTTGGGGCAGGCAACCTGAATGCTGATGATCATAAGCCTGGAAGACCATGGGCAAGTGGGCTGTGAGGCGGCTGGGGTAAGAAATGAGGCTGCAGAAGTGGGCAGAGACAGATTGGAGTATCACATTGCTGGGTCTGGATATTAGCCGGCAGGGAAGGCCTTCAACATTATTCCCCAAGCACCTGGAGGACAGGCAGTACTTTCTCTTCACAGGGGTAAAATGATGGTCAGAGAGGCAAAGTGATCTGTTGAGGCCACATAGCAAGTCACAGGGCTAGATCTAATCAAGTGTCTTGATAGCCTGGCTTCATCCCCTCTACTTGTTGTGCCCACATTTGCAAACCTGGTGCCCCTCTGGAATCCCACAAAAATCCCACCCCAGCTTTCATTTCTCAGATTAGGATATTATGCCCAAAACTTTAAGTCCCAGCGTCTCTGGTTTCCTCAGGGACAACATAACAAACATACTTACTCGTTCTGTGGGTCTTAACCCTTGAAAAAGTTTAGGTAAGCTTGCAACCCCATCCCTTTAGCATTTCTTCTACAAGTCTAGCAGGAAGGTGAGGCGTGTCTGGGAGCAGGCTGAGAACCCAGACGGGGACAGTGCCCTTCCTGATGCCCCTCTCCATTGCCAGGAAGCTTATACCCACCCTGTCCTCTCACGCCCACCATTCCGGTTCCCTTGGGTATTAGGGCTGGGCTGGGGAGTGGCTGCTGCTCCACCACCATCAGGGAGCTGGCTGGACAAGCAGCCCTCCCTTCCTGCCCTGGATACACCACAGGCTGACTAACAGCTGACAGTACTGGCCAGAGACACACCCCAAACACGCCACCCTACATGGGGAGGAGCCAATCTGCTCTGGGGAGGAAAGCATCAACCCCCTACAGTCCCATCTTGCTCTGGGGCCCCAGAAAACCTGAGGCTTTGGTCCCTGTGGCCAATCAACAATTTCAGTAGGAGGGAGGCAAGCTCCAGGCCCCTCCCTCCTCGGCAGGGGAGAAGTAGTGGAGGAGGAAGTAGAGGGGGAAGTGTGACAGGGGGAAGCACTGAATGGTTTCCCAGCTACTAAAGTTCAGACACTGGACTGGTCAGTAGGAGCCTCTGCCTCCAGATAAAGAAGGCCTCATTGGCTCTCCTGGGCCTCTCACCACCAAAAGTGGCTTATATTACTGCCCCTGAGAAAACCAGCTGTGCGCTCCAACTCTCCACAAACTATGCTAGAGAAAGAAGTCTGTAGAGTTTCAGCTATGAGCCTGTCTCAGGCCCAGACTGAGACACATTCCCATCTGCTCTCCCTCCCCTGCAAGGCAAAGCTTCTTAGTTCAAAACCCAAAACAGCCACCAGACGCTCTGCCGGAGAAGGAGGCGCAATATCCTCCTGTACCAGTCAGATCTGATTTGACGGTACACGTACACAAAATAAAAATAAAAATAAAAAAAAAACCAAAAAACAAAAACAAACCCAAAACAGCCCCACCTCCCACCATGGATTGATCAGGACCTGAACTCTCACTGGCTCTGGGACAAGGGTTCACTCTCCACAGGCAAGACGAAGGGCCCCAAGGTCTGGCACCTGGGGCACTCAGATGGAAGGCAAACCTCAGTTCTCCTGTACTTTAATTTCAGAGCACACTAGGCAGATGGCAAACTCCTTCTCACCTACTGCCTCTCTTCCAGAGCCAGGTGCTAGGAAGGGCCCAGGTGGGTAGCAAAACTATCACACCTGAACCAGTGTGGAACAGCTTGATTGGTGACGAAGAGGAGGTATCACAACCTAGAACTGTCTACCAAGGCTTCCTGAGCACTGCCCACCACCTTTGATTCATCACCTCTCCTGGCAGTAGAGAAGAGGGAAGTAAATGGGAGGGGAGGGACTCTGCCAGGAGCAATCTGTTTAGGCTCTTTAGAGCTCTTCCTTACACACAGACACACACATATTCTGACACCTTCCCTGGGCCTTGCTCCGAGATTGTTTCAGAATGCATGGCCAGGTCCAGGACTCTATGTAGCTACAGAGAACAGGAGTACCATGCTCCCCTCAGCCTTCCCAAGTCAGGAAGTCTTCTCTCAGGGCCCATGCAGGGCTAGGGGGCTGAAGAAGTTGCATCATGTTGTCCCAGTATGTCCAACATGTGGACCCTCCCCTTCAAGTAACAAAAGGATCTTAGCATAAGGCAGGCCCACATCTGGACTTGGGTCAGGACTTTCTGGACATTCTTGCCAGCTCTGCCTACTTATGCCACCTCTTGGAATGCTGGGACTGGCCAGGCCTGGGCCTCCTGCTGACCACCAGGATGAACTGTCCCTGTCCTCTCCAGTTTGAACATATACACTCACGTGTACACACATTCTCAGGGTCATCATATGAACAAACTGGCTGGACAAGGTCAGGAAAATGACTCTCAGAGGTTGTGGGGGACGTACCTAAGAACCTCAGTTCAGAGTTGGTCCTCTGTAAGTACCCCAGGGAAGCCGTTTTGGTAGCATATTTACTTAACTACCTCCCTTCTCATTCTTCCCACAAGGAGCAGAATCTCAACAGAGGTAAGAAAATGAATTCTGGTGATTAAATACTGAGGCTAGATCTGGCCACTTGCAGTGTGAGTTTCTGGAATAGGCTTGGCTTTCTAGAACCAACTCACCCCTAAATCTTCCTTCCCTACTACCAAGAAGGTGGGCCCAGTGAACTTGCCCCACGTCCTGAGGGGTGGGGGTTTGAATATTACCAGGAGCCTTTAGAGTGTGGTACAGGATCAACTGCTTACCAGGTCAGTTCTGGCCTTCTTATTTAGGGAAAGGTGTGAAGGATGACAGTGAGGTTCCCCCCCACCCCCGTCCCTGTAGTGGTCCATCATCGACTGCGCAATAGCTAGCACACTGCCTTATGCACAGTAGGACCAGAACAGGTAAAAATCGTGTGCACTGTCGTTGCACCCGGCAAGCAAACAGGGCATTTCCGGTCCCCATCAGCCCTGCCCACATCGCTCTGGACCCCGAAGACAAGAGGAAGGGATGTGCGGGTGGACGTCTGGGCCCATCAGTTCCGTAAAACCCATGCATCAAGGTTTTCTGTCACTGAAGTGACACTTGACCTTGAGAGGCAGGTCGGCCAGACTAGGCCCGCGGACCTGCAGCTCCCCCGCCCCTTGCCCGCCGTCTCTTCCCCTCCCCCGCCCGTCGCCGCGGCGGCTGTACACGCTGCAGGCGCGCGCGCGCGCGCACACAACACACACTACTACCTCCTGCATGACTCATCATCGAAGCAACAATAGGCAGAGAAAGGAAAGGAGGGCGAAGCACTAGCTTTACCGCAGCCAACCTGGCTGAGGGGTTTCAGTGGGTAAGAGGGGGAAGGAGTCTCTAGCTACTGAACACACAAGCTGATGGCTTCGCAGCAGTCAGAAAAACAAACTTCCCCGGAGTCCCCATTCCTGCTGCGCCCTGAAGCTCGGGGCCACCACCAAGGGCGCAGGGGGGATAGGAGGTATTCGAAATACTCTTCCCTTCTTCCCCTTCAAGAAGGAACGCCAAAGTTTGTCTCTGCGCCGCTTAACTCGCCAGGCAATATGGCTGGGGGGGGGTTACCAGAAGTTTCTGGTGCGAAAATTTTGGGGGTCAATGAGAATATGTAAACTCTAAATGTCTTCTCGCCCTGCGATTCTGATGGTTTCGCTCACCCCAAGACAAAAAAACAGGTTAGTGCGAGAATCGACAGGTGAGTTAGATTCCTCTCTCCCGGGGCAAAGGCCCTCCCAGGGAGGATGGCCAGGGCCCCGGCCCGGGCCCAACCCGGATCAGGGGCCCCTGCCAGCCCCGCCCAGGCCCCGCCCCCGGCTGAGCGCGAGGCAGCAGGATGGGCTGGGCTGCGCTGTCCCCAGCGGGAGTGTCCCCCGTGCACGTGGTCGGGGGCGGGGCCGGTCCACGTCACCACCCGGTGTAACCAACAGGCTTGGAACGCAGATACACGCAACATTCCAGCCCAGAGCGGGTTTGGAACGCGCAGACACGCCACATTCCGCACCGGCTAAAGCGGGACACAGCGAGGGGGGCCCGAAGGCCGTCCCTTACGACTTGCGGGCCCGTTCGCATACATCCAATCCGTCCAGTTCTCACCCAAACCCGACGCACGATCCAGCCCGGCTCTGGGAGGCGGGGTCAGGCTGGGCTGGCCAGGATCATAAGACACGCGATGTCATTTCATTCTGCAAAGGCCGCCTCCGCCCCAAGCGGCGCGTAGATCTGCCGGGAGCGTTCCCCAAACCATCCCCCCAGGGCCAGGGAAGCCGGGGAGCTGCTCCGCGTAGAGTAATTCCCACCCCCACTTTGTTACACACACGCCCACTCGTGTGCACTACACGCACGCCCGTGTACACATCCGTTCATCCGAGCTCCCTCAGGCTCACATCACACTTCCCCGTGCACACACGCACGCACACGCGGCTCTGCCACCGCTTCCCCCCAAACACCATTCCTCACCCCCCTCTCCTGCTCACACATCCTCAGCGCCGAGAGCTCACACGAAAGGAACCCCCTACGGAAGGCGAAAATGGGTGGCAGGCAACTAGGGTGGCGCCCGCAGGAGTCGGACCCCTAGCTGCATGTTAATGAATTCATTAATTAATTTCACTGCCCACATCACTTCTCTCCGGGCGGCGACTCTTGCAGGAAGCCCGGCTTCGCAAATCGCCAGGGAGGTGTCCTGCCCGCAGTTTTGTATGAGTTAGGGGGCCAGGGCCGCTCGCCTCCTCTTCCCCAGTGCCTCGGGGGCCCAGTCCGGCTGCTTACCACGTGCTCTCTGTTGTTGCTGTGCTTGCCATTCCAGGAAGCGGGCCGCCTCCAGTAGAGTCTCAATGCTCATCGCGCCGAGAGCTGCCGGGGGCGCGCCGGGGCCGAGGCTGCGGCCCGCGAGCCAGGCACAGGTCAGACTGGCGGGCAGTCAGGAGGGAGGGATCACCTCCGGTGGGCGACAGGGCTGGGCTGCGCAGCGCACTCCGCAGGGAGGAACAGAGGAGCAACGGACGGAAAAGTCAATGTCTCCCAAAATATTTGCAAAATATAAATTCGCAAATTTTTAAAATGTGATGTTAAAAAAAAAAAAAAAGGGCGGCACTACCTCCTTCTTTTCCCTCCCTCTCTTCCTCCCTTCCGATTGCCTCCCGCCCTGCAGCCCCCGGGAGTCCCGCCGACAAGAAAGGGCTTTGCAACAAGATGGCGAGGAGGCACCGACACACACAACAAGGGAAGGAGCCGCGCTGCCCCCGGCCGCCGCCCCCGCTACTACACCGGGGCCGCAGCCAAAGCCCGGACCGGAGCCCCCGCCCGCCGGGCCGCGGCGTCTCACGGAGGGGCGGGGTCCTGCGTGGGCTGGTTCCGCCCACTACAGACGGCGCGCGCACACGTGGCCTGGGTGGGGAAGGATCGAGCTGGGTTCGCGCGCACTATTTCCGCTTTCCCGCCTCGCCTGCAATCCACTGGTTGAGCTAGGGGTGAGTGTTTGGGTCACATCGAGATATGTCTTTTTTGGGAAGAAGAGTGAAAAATATAAGGCTTAAATTAGCTCATATAATTTTAGGTCAGGGAAGCCTTAGGATGGTAAAAACTGGTTTGACTCCCTGGGTCTCTGTTCCCCACACGTGACCCAAGTCCCGCAACCTCCTGGCTGTCGCAATTCCCCTGGGATCCACCCCTGGGCGGAGCTGACGACTGGAGGCAGCCAGAGAACAGACAGAAAGCGGAGTGGCGTTCCGTTTCCATGTTTTGTCACCGTTCCTCCCCCCGCAGTGCGTTCGCATCCTATTAGGGTACGTCACCGGGCCGTGGGCCAATGGGCGGGCAGGACAACACGGCATGGAGCTGCTCCACATGGACACCCCGCGCCGCCAGCCTTCTGTTTAAAGGGCCAGTGTCTGCAGGATTACATTTGTGGGTACGGATGGAACCTCTGGATGAGCTGAGGGCAAGACGCCAAGAAGGGAATCCCACTATTTTGCCTCTTCCAACCTTTTACTGTTCGACACCTTCCCTTTAAAACTAAGTTTCCCCTCTTTTATTCTCCTGAACTCTTATCGTTGCCCATTTGTGTCTGATCAGAGTGGAGAATCTGGCTGTGTCATCATATAGATTGCCCTTTGCTCTGGGGCCCGGGCGGGGACAGTTAAGGTAACGCGTCCAATGCCCAGGCCAAGGGGGCGTGGCCCAAATCGGGAACAACAACGTGGAGGGCGGAAGCTCGGCCCTCTCAACGTCTGAGCCAGTGAGGCCGCGCTGCCTTTTCCCGTGTTTGCGGGGAAGGCGGGCTTTCTCACCTCTTGGCGCTAGTGTTTGCTGGCGAGGTACAATCGAAAACTAGCTTCCCCAAATCATCTCATTTTACAGAAAAGCAAATTAATCAGAGAAGGGACTTGTCTAAGGTCACTTAATATACTAGCCAGTAGATGAGGATAACGTCAAGAGTGGCCAGCACTGATGTCTTTGGGTAGGGAGGGGCTCTGTCCTGCTAAAGGTTTCACTGGGGAGTCTTTGGAGTCAGTTCTGTGTAGGGCCTCAAATTAGAAAAAAGCCAATGAGGAATGTCAGGCTGTTCATACTGAAAGGGTTATCATTGTTAACTCCTTCACTTAAAACCCAGTTGCACTGTCAATAAGCCACACAAGTTCCATGGGTGGTATCCAGGGCTCAAGCCAGGAGGCACACATTTCAGAGGGCTTCCCATTCTGCACACCCAGTCTTCCGTAATTCAAGTCCCCGAAAGCAGAGGACAGCAGAGTCCTTTGCTTCGCTTACGCCAAGTGGGGTGATGCTAATGGGCTCAGGATCCATGGACTGGATTTTCACCATCACACAGACAAAGCAGGCCTGATAAGGACATATGAGCGGCAGGCCACCTGCCAGTCCACTTCCACTGGGCCCTCACAGGAGTAGATGCTTATTTCTCCTTTAGCAAAGAGCCAGATGCATAGAAAGCTAACACAGATGTTTGCTGGGTTTCTTCTTTTCTTTGTGCGCATAGTGCTTCCCAAGGAAAGAAAAGCTGCACGGATCTTCAAAATCAGGAAATCTGCTAAATGGAAAAGGAGTGTTACTTGCCAGTACCAGCTTAGAAACTGTATTCTGGAAGATCTAATGCCCCAGTGAGTGGGCAGCTGAGCATGAAGAGGCGATTAACACAAAACAATTGCCCCAGATGCCATTACCTTTACCTTTGCTTTTTATAAGAGAAGGAAAGTGAAGGGGCAGGAAAGCCCAGGTCTTTTCCAATTGAATACCCTTTTCTTGGGAAAAGGCTGGATCTGTGCAGGTACTTTTATTGCCTTTTAAAATGGCCCGCCTCCTTCCGCCATTGTGGTTGGGCCCTGCCTCCTCTTCACTCCTAGAGGTGGTGGTGGCTGGGGGACACTACAGTATGCGTAACTGTGACCCCAAGGTGCTCACTATCATCAATCAGGGGTCAGCACTGTAGCTTTAGGCAGGTGGGCCGTGAGGTTCTGCTTTCCTCAAGTGGTAAAGGTCCACATATAGTCCTGGACTCTCTTCTGGAGGCTGAAGCCCAATTTAACCCTTCTGGTCAGGGACAAGCCCAAGCCTATTAAGTAGGTACATCTCTGAAAGAATTCTAAAGAAACCTTTCTTTCAGGGATGGAGAAGCACGAGATAAAAGTGGGGTGAAAGACTCCAATGCCTGCCTCCCTCTTGCCCCAATATCCCATCTGCTCTAGAGCTTAGTGGAGATGCTTGCTATTTAAAACAAACAGCCTTAGTGGCTTCACATGATCATCTGTTTATTTGGGTCATGTGGGGACAGCAGCCAGGGGATTCTAGGCAAAAGCAAGTTTTAAAAGGAAGCTTGTTCTGGGCCTATCAGTGCTTACTGGAGCCTGGAAGTGACCAAACAATTTCTCATAAACCAAGATTTTCCCAGTTGGGGATGGATGGGGTGGAGTGGGTGGAGTATATAAAAGGTGAGGATGAAGGTGAAGAAGGGATAAATAGTGCTATGCAATGTTTTCACTTTAATTTCAGCTTCTTGATCCAAGGGGGTGGGTCTGGGGAAAAAGCTGGCCATTGTTTTCATTCACTCAAGGGAAAGAGACAGAAGTCTTTTTAATGTTTCAGCAGAAAGGTTAGCACATGTTTTGGGAATAATCCAAAAAGTGGCTTCTGAAGTTTTTTATGGCTTCTGGGTGCTCTGTAGCATTGGGTGTATTGGTATTGTGGGCCTTCTCAGGAAAGGATTTCTAGTCTCTATCTCAAGTCTTGAGCACCCTAATTCCAATCTCAAATCTCACTCCCCCCATGTTTAATACACTGAGCAAGAGAAGTTCCCCAAGTGAGACTATCTTATATTTGCTCTGGATCCCAGAAGGCATCTTTTCCTTCAGGCCTGACTTCTCATCTTTTACACGTGGTTTTATGAAGTTTTTCATCTATCAAAAGGAAAACAAGACCAAAGGGAGACTGTGAGCTGTGGAAGGAAGGGAAGACAGATGACTGTGACATGCAGGGACACAACAGGCAACATTCATTTAACAAATATTTATTGTGTGCCTGACATGTGTGAGGCACTGGGCTGGGAATCCTAGTAGCCAAGGCCAGGCAACCTTTGGTAAACAGAGCTAGGTGAAAGGTTACTTTTGCTCTCAACCACCATGCTAGATGCAGCATGAGAACAAATAGAATTACAGAGAACCACAGGGTATCAATAGTATCCTTTTAGAAAGCTGGCTTCCCAGATATTTTTATAATAAAAAAACCAAATTAAATGGATTTAAGATGACCTTGAATCTTGACAAGCCCTGTCTAAATAAGAAAAGGATCGTTATTATTTGGGCAGAAGTAGTCTACATTGTCAGCTGCCATCAAGTTGGTCCAAATTCATATCCAACAGAATGAAGTGCTGCCTGCAACATCCTATAGTGATCCCAATCAGTCCCCAGTGAAGACGACTCCACAGAACCGGAAGTTTCCACAAAAACTCACCTCTCCCATCCCCAGGTAGTTGTTGTGAGAGGCCTACAGGTAAAATCAAGTTCTAGCTTGTTTTCCCTTCTTCACTGCCACCAACAGTGTCATAGCTGGAAGAGCTGAGGTCACCCAGTCTAGCCTACCAAGAGAGGGTGTCTACTTTACAAAGCTGCCTGTCCTCTGCTGTCTAGGACAGTTTAAGTGCTATTAGCAAGGGGTCTAGAGTCCTTGCGGTGATGAGTAGAAGACGTCTCCCCTCCTGATAGGTACTAGTCATTAACTTTGTTTAGTTGTTCCCAGTAAATAAGCTTAGCAGATGACTGAGGTGGCACAGGAAGAGAAGACGACTTGGGATACAGGATCTCAAATGACCTCAGAGGACACTCGACTGCCCCAGGCAACTCTGAGAAATCAGACTTCTAATTGGGCCTGTGTAGTTCCCTTTGTCCAACTTGTAAAGCTGACTAGGGAAAGGGACAGATCTTTACTCAGACAAACACCCTAGATGTGGACAGTGAGTAATAAGTAAAGAAAGGCAGGCAGTTCACATGCAGAAAGGGAGGAGTTACATTCCGAGGCTTTTTGAGAAACCAAAGAAGCTAGCTTGCCAGACCATGCGGCTAGAGAAGTGGAGACTGAGGAGGACAGTGGGCTGGGAACTTGGGAAGGAGGGGGCTGCTTAAAATGGAAAAGTAAAAGGGAAAGGATGAGGACTTGAGCTATTTCTGGGGAAAAAAGGATACAACTATGAGATATCTCACCCCAGTCAAAATAGCAAAATTTAACAGAACAGCAAGTAACAAATGCTGGCGAGGTTGTGGAGAAACTGGAACCCTTATTCATTGTTGGTGGGAGTGTAAAATGGTGCAACCCCTGTGGAAGGCGGTATGACATTTTCTCAAAAAGCTGCAAATAGAGGTACCATTTGACCCAGCAAATCCACTACTGGAGATATACCCCAAAGGGAATAAAGGACAGGTGATGTTAGGAAAGTACTGGGAATCAGGCAGGCAGAAATTACCAGTAAAGAGAGACAGAGTCTGGCTTTGGGAGTTAAGAGCCAGCTGGATGATAGCGGAGGGACAGGCCACTCGTGATGGGGGCAGAAGCGTTGGAATACAATCAGTATTAAGGTCTGCTGTCCTAGCAGTACAAGCCAACTCACATAACTGAAAGCAAGGCTGCAGAATCAAGCCTCCAAACCCAAAGAATCTGCTGCCTGTGCTAGTAGCTGATGCCCCCAATAACA